TGTGAAAGCTGGGCGAGCGCGGGATTTTCGAAGAAGCGTTGGTCATGCATTTTTTCATGCAATATGGAAGTGGTATTCGTGATCAGGGGGTCAAACTACCCCTGGGAGCAAGTTTTCAGCGAATTTGGTGATTTCGAGTATTTTGGCGCCGGCGCCCGTGGCGCGGGCGCCAGGAGGTTTCGGGTTAAGCGGATGCGATATTCGTGTTCAGCGGGTCGAACTACCCCTGGAGCCAAGTTTTCAGCAAATTCTGCCCACGGAGAAAAAAGTCGGTCAGGAACTGGCCTGATTTCGGATGACTGGGGCAGTAAAGGGTAAATAGTGCCAAAAATATGATAATAGTGATAATAAAATATTGCTAGAAATCGCGAAAATCGATCTAAAGTGGGCGGAGCTAAGTGTGCGGAGCCTTATGCATCTTTGTGCAATTGCTTGTCTGTGAGCAAGTGTGTTTGAAAGCGTCAACGTTGAGATAAGGTATGAAAATTAAATATAAAACAAACCTGTTAAAAAGTGGGCGTGGCCGGCTATGTGTCGGTGTGGCCATCTATGAATCATTGTAATGTGTGAAAAGCAGAAAATTCCAAGAAAATTCTTAGAAACGGAAGTTATGGTACACATTTTGGAAATCACGATCGCGCTAAAAAGTGGGCGTGATCGCAGAGGGCGGGGCATAGGGTCAAAGATGGTTGAAATAGCAGTCCCTACACGATTGACTTATCATTTTGCGAAATTTGACATAGCGGCAAAAAGTCCACGAGGGACAATATGAGCCACCGGTGGCTCAGGGCGGACGCATGCGAAAGCACGCCATTGTCCCACGTGGCGCTTTCCCGCAAAACGCGATTGTCGTCAACGTGTTAAACATTTTAGGTCTGTTCCGCTGTTCAAAATCAAGACTTCACCGTAGTAGACGACTATTGTACTGGATTGCGTGCTCTCCTCTATTTGAAAGGTGCGAAATCACTCAAGGATTGGGATGGACAGAGTCCTCCGACTGAGAAGTACCAAAAGGGGAAACCAGTCACTGTGAAAAATACGGTAAGATTACCATGGGAAAGTCACTGAAAATAGCACTGAAGATTTAGCCTGTTTAGGGATTACCACACTTTGGCAAGTACCGAGATGAACGGCACAGAATAGAGAAGAAAACCTTTGATGGCAGTCTTATACAGCCAGCTGACGACAGTTTCGCTTCGCGACCCGATACGGCAGTGGAAGTCATTCCCACTGTTCAGGTGAGCTACATTACGGCCTTATCCACTACCTTTGCGGACTGGCCTAGGTTTCACTACCCCGTAGAGGACTGCAAATTGTCAGCCTGCTCAACAGAGGTCACGATTTATGCTTGTTCTATCATAAATGCACTTCTCGTCACATAAGCAGAGCCATGCCTTTTACTGTGCTCTCGATGTGCCTCTGTCTCCTAAGACGGTGAGGAAGGGGGGTGCGCCAATGAACCATTTGTAGGTCTGGTCTAGCTCTGCCCATTCTGCGAGTGTCTGAGTTGATCATATGAGGAAACTGCCTTCTAGTGGTCAATATTAATTGTTGCAGGATGTGATTGGAGCAGCTCTACCACGAATCGGACCCTATGTCACCTTGGATAATCAGTTACAAAAAGTTGCGCTCATAGATGACGTAAGTACAAAGGCTTAATTCTTGAGTAATTCCGTTAATCCTGGTTATTTCAGGATATGTGTATCAATTGTGGTAAATGCTACATGACATGTAACGATTCGGGCTATCAAGCCATTTCGTTCAACAAGGAAACTCACATACCAAAAGTTAATGAAGATGATTGCACTGGTTGTACTCTGTGCTACAGGTAAGCACAATTGAAGTAGGGTAAAATTGTTA